CCAAAGTATCATCTATCAGATTTCTGAGTTCAAGTATGTCTTCATTCTTCTTCTTCCTCCTGGATGTATAGATCCGTCATTCCTCATCTGTGGATTGACTCATCTGATCAATGGATTGGTCCAAAGGTGGTTGGACAGGTGTAGGACGTTGCACATCATGATCCCCCTGAGTCTGAATAGCATTGAACTATCAGCAAAAGTATTTTCACCTGTAATATCAGTGATAGGTTTTAGGGCAGGCGGAGTCTGAAGAATCTCCCTCGCCTCCACGATAGGAGGTGCCAAAGACGGGGGCCCTCGCCTCCACGATAGGAGGTTCCAAAGACGGGGGAGCTACAACAATGTATGGAGACTGAATGATTGATATAATGCCTGTGAGAATAGCGGCATCTTCAGGTGTATCATTTTGATGATCAATAGTGTCAATAACTTGGAGCTGATCAGGAGTAGTTAGAATCACTGCCTCTAGCGTAACACTTTGCTTTTTTGGTCTGAGGTGGGGATGTAGATAATGACATTGAGAACTGGAGTGGTCGAACATACGACAGTTCGAACAATACGAAGGAAAATGCTCAATCTCTATCTTCTGCCAATATCCATGATGTTGTGTGTCCAACCAAATTTCTTCAGAAGCAGAAGAAGTGGTGTCTCTTTCAACAAGTACTCTAGCTTCAGATGGACGGAAAATATTAAAAATAGGAATGGTCGTCTTGAGTGGCTTACCATAAGAAATTTCTAAAAAATAATGAAATTTCAGACCAAGAAAACGAATCCAAACCAGAATGATTGGCGGTTTTGTCTGTGGGTCAAAATCCACAGACCATTTCAGAATCTTCATTGCTCTGTTATCAATTCAGATTATCCTTCTAGCAAATAAGCGTGTGTAATCTTCTTTATTATTAATTTGAATAAGAGTGTGTCTTCTATCTAATAGTCCAATTTTTCACTCCCAACAAGCTGCATAAGTTCAAATTCCTTGCAAATAAGCTCCGTTTTGGGATGACCACAGAGAAATTTCCCAACTAAATTCAGACGACAGGAGGAATCAAGTTGAATACCTTCAGCTTCTGTTCAAGTTGAATACCTTCAGCTTCTACCTTCAGCTTCTGTAAAAAAGAGGGCAGACATCTCATTATTCCTACCAGGTTTCTTGATGTCCTTCGCTCACTTAAACGAAGGAGGGAAAAAACATGATTTAGGTGTACCTGAGGTGTGGACACCAGCAAGGGCAGCTGCATACAATCTGTCTGAAGTCATTCGATGTGGCATTAAGAAGAAAACACGGGAAAAATAGCGTCGACCAAAGCTGAAAAGGAGAGCACGTGGGACAAGCAGAAATTGCTAGATGTACCTGCAAGACAGGAAGCCGCAGAACTAGCGAGAAGACGAGCCGCACCGTAGAGGAGCCGCAGAGCCGCAAACTACAAAGCCGGGAAGACGCAGACGAGCCGCAGAGCCAAATTTGCAAGAGCGAGAAACAGGGAGACGAAACAGAAGCAGCGCGAAGACGCCGAAGAAGCAGCGAGGCCGTAACAGTTGCTAGGGTTCGCCATGAGGCAAAAACTTAGCAGAGCCGAGCGGGAAGGAAGATGACGTCATATATAAGTTTATTATATATATATATATATATATATATATATATATATATATAAGCCCAAGGGCTAAATCTATTAAAAAAAGGAGATGCATAAAAGTTATATGAGAGGGCCCAATAAAGGCACCATATTCATACGATACAACACACACAAACACCCCAAAAGAGAAAAGATATAGGGAAACCCAAAAAAAGAAAGATACCAAAATCGTAGAAAAGAAGTAGCTAGGGATGAGCCAGTTTAGTCATGTCTCTGCCTCTAGCTCAAGCCTCTAGTTCAAGGGCAAGATCCAACTAATAAAAGTGTCGAGCCATTACCGAAGTAACCAAAATATCATCCATTAGGTTCCCGAGCTGTAGTTCTTCTTCTTCCTCCTTGAATAGACCTGTAATTCCTCCTCTGAAGATCGGCTTATCTGATCATCGTGTTGGTAAACAGAACGTCGGGCAGATAAAAGCTGATGAGCACCAGAAGGATTGTCAACTGTTGCAACGATTGTCGGTTCACGTGTGTGTGAAGCATGAATTGTCTCCTCTTCACCTAATGCTTCCTGCAACTGAGGGTTTGAAAGTGGTTGCTTAGTAGGGTCATCCAGCTTCTCATTAATCGCAGAAATAGTATTTTCAGGGGGAGGGTACACAGGGGTAATTAAATCAGACACCATAACTTGTTCTGTAGTAGTTTTCTCTCTATATGGAATAGATATGTCCAAAGTAGTGGGGTCGGATCCATTCTTATTCACTTGATCTTTAGATTTCAAATTAGGGTGAAGCTTATAGCATTTATCAAGGTTGTGCCCACACATCTTATAATGAGAACAATAAGGAGGAGACAATTAAACTATGTTTAAACCCTCATTTGTTATGGCCTCAATTTGCGTGTCATTGGCCTAGAGCATGGTTAACTTCATGTATCATGACCATACAAGGAACTTGGCAATATGGGTCTCATTTCTCAGCAAATTTGATGTTTCAAACGCATCGATGCGGTATGTTTCTTCATAGGTCAACATTTAAGTAATTTGGAGAGCAATTAAAATAATTCGACTCGATTCACGTCGCATCACATTCGATTTTCGTCTTTGTCATTGTATTTGATCGAACTAATAATGAAATTATCCTTCTTAGCAATTTAGGTATTCCAAAAGAATAGACACTCCGCTATATGAAAGGGCAAAATTCAACAGATTTTGACGGCCAGTGAAGCATCACAACACTTATTTACATGACATGCCCATCTTCATCGTGATTTATCAAAATCGATCAAGGCTAGTCTTCTTCGCTAATTTCAATGCTTTGAAAATATTGGTGAAGTCCATTTTGCGAATAGATGAAGCTTTGACCATTTTCAAGTAAGCTTTTTGTGTTTCTCATTGCGCAATTAGTTAGTCAATCGGAACATCCTTCTTATTCAATTATAGTATTTTAGACTTGATGTTGAAGTCTATCTTCTAAAATGAGTGATTATTAGTTAATTTTGGTTTAGGACGAGATATCTCAGGCTTGATTGGTGCAATATATTGACTGTTATTTGTCACCCTCCATCACCATCACCACATTTGATCATGCCATTATGTGGAGCATATATGAAGCTCAACATGCATGGGTTCAAATGTTGGTTAGGTTAAGTATGGCATCCACTAAAGGATGGTGGGAGATTTTACTTTGCCACCAGATTGATGGATGAGTGACAAATAACAGTGAACAGATCCTAATTCAATTTGATGAGGAACTTGTGCACAGCAACTGTTTGGAGGAGATCAGGTAGTGAGAAGTATCAAAAGAAGCGGGAAGAACCCAAGAAAAGGAAACGGGTCAGGAGGGAGATCAAAAAGGGGATTGAAAAGAACCATCACGTAGAAGCAGCAAGATTTCCTGGCCTCCTTTCCACGTCCCTATAAACTCGACTAACCAACATTAGAAACAACTAAGATGTACCAAAATCCATAATCAACAAAATTCTCCACCCAAACTAGAGCTGAAACTACGGACATCGATACAAATTAGAATTTCCCCTGCTAAAATTTCTGCCGCTTAAATTTTTAAACTGTGCTTGAGAATAAGTATCAGATATACGCCAAGAGGACACTAAAAAGAATCAAAAGGTTAAAAGCAAAATGGTTTCGCTGGGGTTTCTTTTTCGGTTATTTTTGTTGGTAATAAGTTAATTAAAACATGTTCTGATTATGCTACATAGAATCAGGGTTGTAATGCATAAAAATAAGAAATGCAGCATACAAGTAGTCATGTTTATGCTAATTTATACAATAATTTATAATAGACTAAAATTGCAGATTTGAAGTTAGATAATGATTTTATGAGTGATACAGTGGGAGTGACGTCTACTGAAGAAAAAATAATAAAAAAATTAATTGATGCAGTTTGGACATATACCACAAGTGTAGAAAATGTACTGATTAGATATGCAAACTAAATAGTATCGGATAATTAAGAAGAAAAAGAAGCAAACTTAGAATAACTTGAATAAAACTTATCCAAAAATAAGTGTGCAGAATAGAATAAACACTTCATGCTGTGTTGAACATAAAGGAATAGTAAATGAAGATTCATAAAGTCAATCAAAAATGGACAAAGATTAGATGATGATAAAATTTCTACCCTTCAAACATCTTTACGCCAATAATTTTCCTATTCAACTAAATCTAATTTAGGTAAAAATATTTCAAGAGGTCAAAACAAGCAAAACACCAAATATCTTTTATATTATGTCAATATAGTTTTTGCATGCCACATAACGGAAGCTTTTAGATGGTAAATTTAAGAGACTTCAATGTAAATCCCAAATCAATTAGAAGGTTCAGATATCCCTGTTTTGCGCTTAGGTAACAAAAATTTGGTGTTATTCAAGTATAGAATTGTTAAGGAAAAGAAGTTGTCAATATAATTTCTGAGAGCATTTAGCATTATGAGTAAAAAAATGAAAGCTGAAGTAAATAGTGGTAACAAGATCTTCATTCTGCAACAAGAACAAAACGTAAAGGATCCTAAAATTTCACATTCTCGTTCAAAATTTTCAATTAAAAGAGTCTAAATCTATGGCAACCAATGAACTTGGAAATGAATAAATGCAACTCACATAATACAAGAAAAGTTAAATGCGCAAATCAATAATAACCTATATAGGCCCTCCAAAGTGACCAACACCAAACAAGAATAAAAAAACTAAATAATAAATCGCAAGGTTTCAGCAGCTACCGATGTTAGCAATCCAGGAAACAAATCGATGTAAATAGTAAAAGACCGCTCCCTAAAATCACTAGAATGAAAAAACTCAAGGCAACAGTTATCCCTTTATAGTGTAATCCCACACCCTACATTTATACCCCACATCGGAGAACAGTCGACTGCTATTTAATATTCTAATTGATAAAGCTGGATCCATTACCCATATTCAGCTTGAACGGATAACTTTTGCAACTTATTAGGCTGCTTTGAGCTCCGATGCATTGACAGTTGTGACTGGTGACCAATTAACGATTTGAGCTTATTTGATTGAAGACCGCAGGCCCCAAAATGTACTCCACCTATTAAGATAATGAAAATGTGATCTACTTAAAAGTTTAGCCAAAAAAATATTGAACAGATAGCCACAATATTTATAACTTTAAAAAAAAAGATCATTTACTGATTCCTCAAGGTAAAAACCATATCTTGCCTCGAAATAAGGAATTTTTTCAACCAGAAGAAACATTTAGTGGACACCAATCAAATCTAACATCATACAACCTTAAATTGAATGTTTCAGACAATCTACTACATACCACAATTCTTAAGTATTTACATATCCAACACCAAACCATCATATTTAGTTGCATGCCACTCAAATTTGTAACACCACATCAAAAATGCCATCATCAATACCATTTTAAAAGTGAAATGCACTTTTCGATGCATGAGCATATGACACTAAGGTGTTATAAGTGTAAATAACAAACTTTGGGTCCAAGGTATGTAAATACAGAAGAGTTATGTGGTATGTTGTGTAAATTTCCCCAAAAAATTATAACAATTGCGAGGCTCCGGTGAGTAATTTTCTTGTCTATTCCTCCAGTTAATCATATCTTCCCAATGGTAGCAGGTTTCTTTTCCTTACCGAATGATACCGAAGGAAAAAGACCCAAACCACAAGAACAATTTTTATTAATAGAGAAATAGGGTTACAACACACACAAACTGAAAAATAATATTAAAAATACAAAATGACACAACAAGCACCTCAAGAGTGCATCACAAAAGCGGTGGAACTTGCTAGGTGGATTAGAGAGGACTAGTCGGGGACGCAACAGCAAAGGCAAGGTGAGAAAATGACAGTAACAACTAGAGGGTTGGCAATCCTATGCGGATACAACAAAAAATTTAAGGAGAAACGGCAGGAACGACAGGTTAGCTGTCCTGGTGCAGCGACAGCAAGCATAGGTGGGTCAGCAGCAATGTAACAAAGATGCAGGCAATTTGGGGTCGCAGGAAAGTGTTGAACAGCAAAGTAGTTTGTTGGAAACCGGAACAAAGATGATAAAATCACCACCGGGGAGTGGGATACAACCAAAGCCCACCCTAACCGTTGGATACAACCCTAAGGGGAAAGAAGACTCCACACAGGAAATCTAAGATCAAATACAGCCAAAACTAATGCTAAACGCATAAACAAGCATAAAATATACTCTTATTAATGAAGAAAAGGGAAGAACTAAAGAAGGAAGCTCTCACACATAAGGAAAGGTTGGGGAGGCAAGAAATAACCATTAAGGTACTTCCATATGAAGAAGAAGTAGAAAAGGCGGGAGAGGGGCGCAAAAGGCCGCTCGCCCCATCAAAAAACCCACCAAGGTCACTTGGCCAAGGTGCACCCCAGATAGAACTCAATTGAGCCAGTCGATTCGCTTGCAGAAGTTCCCGCTCCCGCGTTCCTACTGCAGGAGAGCCCCACTCCCGCGGGTCACAACAACAAACCCCGAATCAGTCTCCCGGGGTTATGGGAGCTTGGACCTCATTCATCATAGCTTTGGGTTCTCGTCGGCCATTCCTGGATCCCACTGGCGAATGCGCTGGCTACCCAAGCATCTGAGAAGCTTTTCCCACTTGCGAACATGCCTCCCTATCGATCTATTCCCGGATCCCACTACGTAGGTTTTCCCAATCCAAGTTCCAAACAAGTAAATATTTCATATGCTTCCCATCTATGACAAGTTGGGCTTCAACGAGGTTGAGGGTTTGCAAGAGTTTAGTTGATGAGTGATTTTTATTATCTTTTGGCTCTTCCCTCTGACTCCTGAAATTTTGGAGAACTGACATCTACTGATGTGTTTCAATAACAAGATCTTCACACCGACCTTTCGTCTCTTCATACAGAGAGCTGGGGTTGAAGGCTAAAAGTGTAACCTACTGTGATGCTATCAATTGATTATTACCATCCACTAAAATTTTAAATTATAACAACTTTTGATCTGTGTGATTTTATGTATCTCAACAAAAAAGTTCTCCATCTTCTAGAAGAGCAGGAACCAAAATTTCATCAACATTGAATATTCCTTTTGATCACAAGGAGGAAAGACATTGAATGCATTCACGAACAAGAAAGATCCACGAGAGAAGATTACCTCCGATGAAAGTTCTCGTTCGAACTTCTTTTCAGTGTCTACATTGTCTTTTCTTTAGGTTTCAACAACGCCCTGCTCAGTCAGTGTCACATTTTTTGGCTATGATAGCTTGCTAGCCAGGAAGGTCGCTTGGTGTTGCAGTCTCTCCACATCCTAAGCTAGAGTCTGCAACTTTTGACGGTAGTAAGTTGGTAGAAAGTGGCTTTACGTTTTCCGCTTCATCTTCATATCTTCTTGTTCCCGCCTTCGACGTTTCGGATCACAGTCGGGGGCAGCCTCCCTTTGGATTTCATCTTTCAAGTTCGTAATTCACCTTCAAATTCTACAGATCTCTTGTCGTATCTCCTCCAGTGAGAGCTCGGGTATATATCTCAATGGTGGCATGGCTAGGAATTAGTGAATAGAAAAGAAAAATGTTCGTGGGGTTAGGGCTTGAGTTGTGAAAAGGATATCTGATAGTATGAAAGAAAATTTTGGTTTATGACGGATGCTAGGGAATCCTAAGATAAGACTAGGGTTTGACTAGCTCTGATACCAAATGATATAGAAAAAAAAATAACTAAATCACAAGAACAACTTTTATTAATAAGGAAATAGGGTTACAACACACACAAACTGAAAATAGCATCACCAACACATAAAACGACACAACAAACACCTCAAGAGTGCATCCCAAGGGCGGTAAAGGTTGCTAGATCATGGGAGACTAGCGGGAGTGGTGGCGGCAAAGGGGAGGTAAGAAGACGGAAGGAACAACTAGAGGGCTGGAACGACAAAAGTTAGCTACCCCAGGGCGGCGACAGCAAGGATGGGTGGGTCGACAGTGATGTAGCAAAGATGAGGGGAATTTAGGGTGGCGGGAAGGTGTCAGACAGCAAGGCGGATTGCTATAAACCGGAACAAGGAGGATACAATCACTACCAGAGAGAGGGATACAACTGGAGCACCACCCTAACCATCGGATACAACCCTTGAGGGGGAAGAAAACCCCACACATGAAATCTAAAATCAAACACTGCCAAGACTAACCCTAAACTCGGAAACAAATATATAAATACTCTTATTGAAGAAGACAAGGAAAGAATTAGAGAAGAAAGCTCCCACACACAAAAAAGGGGTGGAGAGGCAAGAAATAGCCATTAAAATACTTCCATATGAAGAAGAAGTAGAAAAGGCACGATAGGCGCACAAAAGGCAGCTCGCCCCATCAAAACTCCAGCCCCAGACTGCTCGGCTTGGGTGTACCCTGGACCGGTCTCAATTGGGCCGGCCGGTTCACTTGCGAGAGTTCCCGCCCCCGCGTTCATGCTGCGCGAGAACCCCGCTCCCGCCTGGTCACGGCAAAGCCCCGCGTCACCAAATTACAGCATTTAAAACTTACTAGACTTAAGCCCTATTATGATTTGTTTGTGAGAAGCATGTTTTCAGTCATGACATAGTTTATGCTATGTAGCAGTCCTTGGTTGTCTTATGATATTTTATTATGGGTCAATGTTTGTAATATTTTTGGAACATAATTATCATTAGAGTATTCGTGCATAAATTTTATGCAGTTATTTTCTATAAGTAGCCTCTTAAAAGTCGTTAGAGGCATTTAATTCCTGATCAGCTTAACAATAAGTAGATACTTTCTCTCCTTGCTTTGAAACCACCCCACTCTCTCCCCTCGCCCCACTTTCCATCAACATGCAGTCCTCTACTCCATAGTCAATTCAAAAGCTTCTTCCTCAAAGATTCAAATTCCTAATAAATTTTAGCATTATTAGGCCACATTCATCATAATTATTAAAATGTTCACCTAATAGTGGATTATTGTCAATTAAAAAGAATATTCTATAATTATTCCAACGTTAGTGAACATGGAAACTATTATGCAATAGAACACTGGAGATAAACTCTGTTGCAGAACTAAATTTCATTAATGAGTTAAAAAACAGAAAAGAGGTAGATTTTAGTAAACATCTTCACTGGCAATGGGAACATATGCGGCAATCAAGCATATATGCCAGCAAAACTTTTGAATGATGGTGTTAACCAATAGACAGGCTTAGAGTAACAAACAAGCTTTGTTTCTGCATAAATGCTAGATAGAAAATTGTATCTAAATGGCACATGATCCTGATTTAAAAAAAAGGAAGAAAACCATGATGGCCCAAAGGAGATCTTTAGCATCCTATTTTACGCAGGATTTAAGGAAAATTACCTAAAACCTTACCAAACAGATTTTTAGAGACTTATAAATGCTATTGTTTTTTTTAAATCCTATTTGAGTTGATTAAACCCACACCGTTAAAAAAAACAACAAATTTAATTACGTTACCTATCATAAATCCTAAATCCACAAAATAAAAAACTAAACCCATACTCAGAGAACTTACGGAATCTTCAAAATAGTTACTAAAATTTAACAATAAAAAAAAACAATAAATTTAATTACAGAAAATTTAACTGCAATTTTCAAAATAGTTACTAAACCCATACTCAGAGAACTTACGGAATCTTATTTGAATTGAGTTCTACTTTGAAAAAAATAGAATTCAGCTAAACTGACACGGGTCACGATCCTTTACAGTGGAGACCAAATTTTTCACGGTCCCGTCGAACTGCGTGATCGCGGAACATCCCACAATAGTGGGACAATGATTTCTGCCCAGAATTCCTACCATTCCCAATTTTCAACAGATTTTTTCCTTTTTGAGTTTTTTTCCTATTCCATTATTTCTAATTATGTTTATTTTTTATTAGGAGGTTCTCTTATATTTGGATTTTGAATGTTTGAAACTTTTAGTTTTGTTTTGGTGTTTTTAGACATTGTATTCTATGATTTCTGTTTTAAGGAGTGTTGTATCATCTTCGTTTTGCAATTGTTGTCTATATCTTGCTCAAAAACAAGTGATAGAACCTCCTCGTCGCCCATACTTCGCAAT